CCAATCGTAATTTGTTGAAAGAAAAAATGCAAAGTATTGCCTAGCAACGCAGACAACACCCATATAATGTCTAGATTTGTGGTGGTTAGCGGGTATCCACCACAAATCTACTAAATACGTATTTTTACGTGACCCACGCTCCAGTGACAGACTGCAAAAAATGTAAAAATACATAACCCACAGGCCATACGTATTTTTACATGACCCGCGCTCCAGTGACAGACTGCAGAAAACGTAAAAATACGCTGCCCGCAAGCCAAGTGTTATGACTAATGGTACGCTTGTCAATAACAATGATTTTGAAATGTTGGGCAAATAAACAAATGTTTAAGAAACTTGAAATTTTGGGTACACAGTAGCTCACTGCACATCGTTTTGTGATTCCGATGAAGTGGTTTGTAATGAAACATCAGTTTATGATGGCTCCATTACAAAACACTTCATTCGAATTCTATGTTCAAATAATTCACACTCAGAATGGCATGAAAGAAAAGGGGATGGAAATGTCACATGAGCAAAATTATGGACCTTTGGGACCAAAGTTTGTTTAAAAAAACTTAAGGACTTTAAAGTTGTACAAACCCTGGAGTAGAACAACTAAACTATTCCACCAGATTGACTTACTTATACACATTAACTTGATTATATCATTATAAGATAATGATGTAGAATTATTTAAAAAAACATTAAACATGTCCAAAAAAAGTTCAAAGCTATACAGGAAGAAGTAAGTTCTTTAAAAAAGAGCGAACGTTATAAACATAAATTTCCTCTAAAGTAAGACACAGCAAGTGATAAGGTGTTTAAAACAAAATGTGTAAATAAGTAAATACAGTACAAAATCCAAGATCTGAACTCATTGGGATTTCAGCAATTTCGGATTTTTCCAAATAATAGATCATCAGTTTAAAATCTAGTAAGATGGCATGTAGAAAAGATAAAAAAATCAAGAATACGAAACCATGATTTATGAAATAATGAAGCCTACATGATCTAAAGAGTATCAAAATTTACAAAACAAAAGGGGGGGACTTCATATATATTTATTCACATTATTAAGCACTTCTTTCAATGTAAGTTGTTTAAGTTGCTTCATTTTTGGTCTAATACTTTTTCTTTAATTCTGTAGACAGACAAACTTTCTTGTTCAGTTATAAAGTTCCACTGTTCAAGTCCTGTAATTTCTGTGTTGTGAATTCCAACTAACTAGTCAATTGAATTTTTTTTCATTTTCAGTAACCTCTCTGTCACTTTCTTCACTATCGGTAGCAGTTTTTTCTGGATGTAGAGCCATACTACAGATTTTGCCATCTGTTAAATGATTGATGATTGGGGCACTATCATCACAATGAAAAACTTCTGTTACACAATCTTCATTTATTACCGCTTCTCCACATTTCCTTACAAAATCCATTAATAGGAAAATTTAATCTTTGGTTTGTGATAACCGAAAACCTTCAAATTTGCGGCTATCATCTTCATTATCCTCCATGGATTATTTCATGGATCATTTTATATATGAAATTAGTTGGCCGTGCATTATGCCAAGCATTTTGTCTGGAGTTACATCTCCCAAAATCTTGCGGTACTCCACACAGCAGGTTTATTAATGTTGAACAGTCTTGCCATTAAAACTTTAAGGGAATTATAAGCCAAACAGTTGTCTATAATAAGAAAAATTTTTGCATCATCAGGTAAACGACCAATTTCAAATGTTGCTGAGCCTCGAGTACAAAATGATTTTCAAAACAATCATTCGATAACGCTTGTGTCATACATGCTCTTTTATTTTCAAAATACACAATAGGGAAATTCTTTACTCCTTTAAATGCTCAAGCCCGGGTATTTTTTCCAATTCCGAAAAGTTCACACTTGTGTTTCCTGCAGCATTTGTGTATTCTAAAATTGTTAGTGTCACTTTGGAATCTTTGACATCAATTGGAGCCTGTTCGGTAGAGGGTGCCAATGTATTTTGTGGTACATATTGCCAAAAACGACCAGTTTCAGTAGCATCGTAAATTTGTTCTGGAGATAACTTTTCACTATTAATGAATTATCTTCAAATAGTTTAGCAGCTTCAGTATTACTTGAAGGTTTGTCTTTTTAAATGCTGAAGTGATTTTTAAATCTGCTTAACCCACCTGTCGAATATGTGTAGTAATAATTTTTAGGTTCATTTCTTCATGAAATATTTTGGCTTGCGAAATTAGCACAGTATCTGTCAATGACATGCCCTCATTGCAACTCTGTCTGACCCATTAAATCGTCCCTTTTAGCAAAAAGAAAAATATTTCTGTTATGGGGTGTCGGAATCAAAAAATTCGTTTTTCTGTTTTCTTATATCCTATACAGTTGACTTTCCAATGCCATACTCCTCGCATAGTTTCGAGACAGATATACCTTTATCCATTTTTTGTAACAATTCCACTTTCTGTTTAATGGACATGCTTCCGCTTTGTAAATCCTTTTGGATATAAAGAATTAGAAACTCTCTTCGACATAATCGAAAGTTCAAACTCTAATTTTCATAAAATTACCGTAATAATAACAGCCTGCAAAAAATAATAAGCTGGATCAAATCAGAAAGTTAAAGAACAGAACAATCTGCTATATATTAAGTGAAACTGCTTGGAAACAGTAAAGTATAATGTTAGCCTAGCTTAATAACATCTGCAATACATTATTGGCTATGTATCATGATATTGGGGATGAAAGACAAGTTATTCTGCTAAATTTTGTCTTGCTTCCATAATGCACTGAAGCAGTTAAGTCTGAATTGTATAAATTTGATTATTTATTATACTTACATCTTATTTTTTGCACATGCCCTTAAAGCTTATCTAAGTCCTGAATAAATAAATTTGCACATATACGTTAATGCTTATTGAGGGCTGGTGCTAGTCATCTTACAGCCTGATGCAATCTCTAGGGGTCCTAAACTCTGCTATCAAGCACCTTCCCAAGTTCTAAATTTCTGCCGTCCCTAAATTTTAGGTCCCAGTGCTTTCCATAAATTCTAAAAAATTATTCATCCTTTAATTTTGCTGCCTAGTGCTTCTCTAAATTACAAAAATTGTGTCTTTCCTAAATTCTGCCCCCGGTGCAGATATACGAGCTCTGGCACTGATTCTCGTTGCTTGTGAATAACAAATCAATTATTTGTAATTCGATTAGCACTAAATGCAATGTTTTGGTATATGAGTATCATTAATAAAATCTGTTTTTAGCATATGTAAAAAAGAATTTGTTAACTTTTTCCTTGTCTACATCTCTTAGTACATTTATCTTAAATCTGTAATGATCGCCAAATGCAATGTCAACATGACGGGTTATCAGACTTTTTGTGATTCAATTACTTATATATATATATAAAATGATTTAGGCATTGCTGCATCAGTCATTACTCAAGTTAACATATGTTGTTAAAGATGCAGTGATGAAAGCAAAATATAATAATGATTCGCCAGGTTGGGTGTAAGGATTATAAAATATTAGTAATGTAAAATTAATGCTAATGTATTGGTTTGAGATGTATGCGAAGCAGATCCGCCACTACGGAGCCAAATTTCTGATTGTACAAATGTATGCTAAAATGATTGTTTCCTAAATAATTAGTCCGAAGTGAAATTAAGAATCGTAACTCTCCACGTTTTATTATGGGGAAAAAATTAAATGCGCATGCGCAAAAAGCATACAAAAAAAAAAAAAAAAAAAAAAAAAAAAAAAAAAAAAAAAGTTGGTGGTGGCTTTAGGATCCAGATTTTAGATCATTCCGTATATTGGACATCTGGATCTCCGACTTTGTATTGTAATACACTCTGTGAGAAGTTTTCCATAAAAGAAACCTTACTTTCATACTCAACCTATGCTTAGATTGTTATCTGAGTATTTAAGACCTAACGAAATGAAAGAGAAAAATATTTTCTAATGAACTCTGGGCTAACGTTACATTTTACAGATTCTTATATTCAAGAGTTAATGTTCCTGTCACATTTCTGCATTTTTATAATTATAATAATATTCATGGACTAGAAAATCTAGTGCTACAACTACTAGGGAATATTGCCTATTAACTATCAATCAAAGTACAAATATGAATCAATAGTCTAAAGAACCCAGCCAAATCATTTCATGCATTCTATAGGGTGTCCCATGAAGACTATCCAAATTCTGCACAGCAGAATTCTTCACTTGAAATACATAAAAAAATGCAAAAAGAACTGTACCTGTACAACCCAATGTTTTTGCAATAAATGAAAAACAGAATTATGATGTCGCATTCAGAGCAAGGGGAAAAAAAGCTATTGGAAATGTAGTGCATATTGCATCATGCATGCCCACACCACAGAATGGCTGACCGCACATGATAAAGCAGCATGGTGTCTACCAAAGTACATGCAGCATGAAGACAAGCAACTAAGTCACTTTCTGCAGTAACTAGGTACCAATAGGCTAACTCTTTCATATGGCGCTAGAGGAAAAAACCCAAAGGTATCAGATCTGGCAAATCATCACGGCCATAAAATGGACCCTCATGTCCAATCTAGCAGCTTGGGCATTTCATATCCATCAAATAGTGGACAGGAGTGCTGAAATACAATGGAGCTCCATCATGCTGGAATGATATGCAAAGCGATGGATATGATGTCATAGTTTTCTTTTGCATTTATCTCAAAAAACTGTGGGTCGTACAGGTACAGTTGTCTGAACACTTTTTTTTAATGTATTCCAAGAGAGGAATCTGGTTGTGCGGAGTTTGAGCAGTCTTGCTGGGACACCCTGAATAAAGCCATAATACGACTTTCACAATTTTCAGATTCTGCTTTCATTCCATTTTAGAAATGTTTTCTTTTTAGCACATAAAATTTTTTTCAAAATTTGTATGAATTTATTTCTGAATTTTCCCATGTGCAACATATTTTTAGAACCACTTTATATTACTAATTAAGCTCAATTATTATGTGAAAATAGAACTCAAATGAAATTATAATTTACATTACCTATTAGCAGTCTGATGAGCAGTGTCAAACATCTGAGAGTCTTCACCTTCATCCAGTATTGTTAAAGGATCTGTTTGTACTTCAGTTTCTTGGACAGATGGAGGCATTACATCAAAGTTAGTATCATGACCACTGGTACTGAATGATGAATCTTCTCTGTTGAAGATGGTTGCAAACGAAGCAGAAGAATCCCCTTCATAGTCATGGATGTAAGCAGAATTAACAGATTTATCAGAATTTTCTGAAACTTTAAGTTTTTTCTTCAATGGATTTTCACCTAAGATTACCAGAAAAAGGAAGGGATGCAAAATAAGAAAAATAAAGAAAAGCATCTATAAAGACAGTCTTTAAAAATTGTATACTCATATAAATTTAATGCAGAAATGAATATGTTAATAAATTTTCATTACTTATAGCGAATGAAAAGTATGACCTTCTCCTTCTTTAGTAAGAATTTTTAAAATGCTAAAGAATGCATATAATTAAACTCCCTATCCCTCCCCCCCCAAAAAAAAACAGAGCCCACTAGTGGCGGAGTGGTTAACACCACTACTCCTAGTTCATCCTGGCTTGGGTTCAAACCCAGCTGAACAGGCTGGCTGTATGGTTAAATTTCGTGGTCTTCCTCATGTGTAACATGAATATGAGCCAGTTTCCCTAGGAAAGTCTTCTGTGAAGGCATCCTCCACTTAGGCAGATAGCCATTGTGGCTTTGCCATATTCAAATAACCTAATCAAATCAAAAACCGGTTCCACTGAACTGCGTGTTAAAAAGAGTTTAAAGCTTTTAACAGCGTTTTATTTAAATGAATATACAGTTATACCATTATGTTATTTACACGTGTACATAGATCTCTCTTTTTTATGCCCACATTGTATTCTTATAGTAGTATCATAAATCAAATACCTTATATATATTCATGTGCAATATTTAAAGAATAAATAGGTTTTTCATACACACTTTCACACTGCAGGGATCTGGAGACAAATATGAACAGACTGACTCTGATGTAAAACAGATCTTTATCAATAAATTGACATATTAAGCACAAATACATACCTGAATTCTTAAGAAAGAAACCATGAATAAAGAAAGCACTTACTCATTTTATTGGAAGGGCGTTTAGTCATATTAGATCGTATTGTGACATCTTTCAACTTAATGTGAGATATAACAAGTTCTGGATGGTTCTGAAAAACAAACATCTATTAATGAAACCCTCATATAATGGATAGTTACACACTGTAGATCTTTTTATTGTAGTTTTGAAAATTGAATTAAAAAAATCAAGCAAATTTATATCAAATGCTATAAGATGAAAAACTAAAAATTTATCAGGTATAGAAATATCATATGCACAACTTCAGTTACTTGGAGGAGGAAGGTGACTGATGAAATCTCAAGTTCAAAATTGTTAATTCCATTTTCTGCAGAGTTCATTCTTGCTAAGGAATTAATAATAAAACCTCCTTAAATTCAGTCTTTTGTCCAAAAGGATATAATAATACATAACTAAAATATAACAGTTCCTACTTTCTCCTCCTTATCTATTTACCTAACTATTTCACTATTTTTTAGCATTAAATCTTACACAATTTGCAATACTCATCTTAATTACAATCATTTAATGTATAAAGATTCCACCGATTTATTTCTTCTCTGAATATTAGAATTAACTTATAAAGTTAAATCAACCGTGGATTTTTAACTGTAAAAAAACTTACTCAAAACACACAAAAAACTACACCTTTAACATATGAGATAGCAAAGCTTTCAGTTACATGTGTATGAAATAATATGGTACTTTCTGATTATCTATCGAGAACCTCTTTCAAATAGTTGGTCTACATAGTGATCTTTTTATGCTTAAACAATCATCAGAGATTTGTACAAATTTAGCAGTGTGCACAAACTTCAATTTATAAAATTCCATTGTTTAAGAAATACAATATTCATGGAATGTGAATTTACATTCTCAACTGTTGGGCAAAACACCATATTTCTGAAAAAAGGTGCAAGCTTTCTTTTTTAATCACCCGACAAATTCCACAGGCCCATTACGATTCTTTTGCAAGAAAAAAATATACTCAGTGCACCAAGTAACACTAATCAAAATGACTGCTAAATCTGAAAGGGGAAATCCATGCTTACCTATGTGGGTGCACATACCTGGGTTGCTACATAAATACTTTTGAAAGAACCTGGATAAGAAATAACCAATAATATGAATATCCACAAATATGTACCGAGTCTACCTAATATACATTTCAAATTAACTGTCTAAATATTTCCCAAGTATAAAAACAAACTTAAGAGATCACAATGGGAACTGCATAAAATAAATATTTTAGTGGCAGAAATTTTTCTCAAGAAAGTTTTATCGTCAGCCTGAAACAGAATGCCCACCTACAGAGAACAGAAACTTCTTAGAATATGCACTTTTTATTGCAGAAGGCAATAATGTGGCATCACGAGTTTTAGCTATCAATAAATGACTGACAGATTAAGAAAAGAATATTCCATACAATAATTCATACTGGCAAAGCAAAATTTAGAATTCTACTCAAAAGATATCTAGCACAGCATTTCAGCAATAAAACATATTAAAAATTGCACAAATGAGAGAAAGAATTCTATTAGAAAACATATACATTCATAACAGTATATATGAATAGTATAAATAAAAATATATTGTATAGCAGAACAAAAAAAGTATTAATCTAAAACTTACTGGATCTAAGAACATTCTTTCTTTATGTGTTAAAAGCATTTCACGATAACGCTCTTCTGATACTTCAAACATATCAATGTTGTGGTTTAGAAAATGTCCAGAACCTATACAGCATTATGATTGGAATTAAAATAGTTTATATTATAAATACATTTACAGAGTATCTTACAATTTCTTACAAATTATGTTATATTTCTTATAATGCATGTTTCAGTAAAATTCAATTTATTAACTTCTGTTAGGTGCTAAAAGTTTAAACTATAAAACCTGAAATGTTTACACGCATAAGAATTTTACATTGTCATACTGTATAAAATTTAGATTGGGTAGGATAAGACATTCTTTCTGCTTCCTTTTTCCTAAGCAGCTGTTGAAATGTTACTTTTGCTAAAATACACTAGTTACGGATATGAATAATAAATATTATTCTTATCATTATGTATCTTCTAAATGTAATAAGGCTTGTATCTTCTAAATGTAATAAGGCTGGTATTTTGTTCAAAATTATAAAGAACACAAAAGAACAAAACTAAAAGTAAGCCTGTAATTTTGAATGATAAAAATGATAATTTATACTGATATTCATGGATGGCTTCATGCTTAATTTCAATTTTTAAACCTTTCATTAACTTCTGTTAGGTGCTAAACTTTTAAACTATAAAACCTGAAATGTTTACATGCATAAGAATTTTACCTTGTCATACTGTATAAAATTTAGATAGGGTAGGATAAGACTTTCTTTCTGCTTCCTTTTTCCTAAGCAGCTGTTAAAATGTTACTTTTGCTAAAATACACTAGTTACGGATATGAATAATAAATATTATTCTTATCATTATGGATCTTCTAAATGTAATAAGGCTTGTATTTTGTTCAAAATTACAAAGAACACAAAAGAACAAAACTAAAAGTAAGCCTGTAATTTTGAATGATAAAAATGATAATTTATACTGATATTCATGGATGGCTTCATGCATAATTTCAATTTTTAAACCTGGTGATGCATTTCCGAGTTGTATTTCTGCTGAAGATTACTTTCCTTGAAATATCAATTTATTCATGACTTCTAAGAAAATTCACTAAATTGTGCCATATGAACGTTTTGCTTCAAGAAAATATATGTTTCTTGAAAATTCGGAAATCAACTTGATGCTTCTTAGAAGTTAATAAAGTTTTAAAATGTTGTTAATCATAACATTATTACAAGTAAGGCCCAAAGAATGCCTAAAAGACACTTAATGAACATAGCTTCTTTTGTAGCTTTGATTACAAATAATGAAATCATAAAATGAAAGCATTTTCACAAACATTTTACATGCAACAAATTTGATATCTTTTTCTTCTATGATGATATAAATTACTGTAGATATTTGCATTAATTTATTTGCAGTTTGGATTCCAAGTATATTCATTCTGTAATGTACTTATTTTTATTTTTTTTTCCTCTTTAGTATATTTTCTAAGGTAATTTCATATCCATTTATTTATTGATTTATCTTTAAGTTTTGGATTTGTATTGTGCCTTTATATGTTATTTACAGAACTCTTAATTTTGAACGGACTATTGTTAAAATTGTAAGGATACCTCAATGGAAATATAAACAGCAGTCGGGACTTGGCGACTTTTCACAACACTGTTTACATTCTGCACAGAAAGTGTGTTTATAAAGACCTCAGTGAAATTTTATTAAGGGTTTCAGAAGTACCTCCCCTCTCCCTGTAAAGCATAACTATGAGGCTGCATTGCAGCTTGAACACAGTTCAAAGTCTGTCAGTGCTTTGAGACATTCACTCTTGCCCTGTTCATCTGACTCAATTAATTTAACAAGATTTGCATCAAGCTGTAAACTGTTTTTATACCACATTCAATGCCTGGAGGAAACAGTGGACTACATGTGTGTTTTATGGTTATTTTACATCATTATGTAAAAATTACACAATAACAAAGTTGCAGGGGGGAAATCAATTTTTCGATGTCTTTATAAATTTACTAAAGCTACCTTTCAAATTCTCTTTCTGAGCTTAACATTTTTATTATCTGAATACAAGAAAACCAATAAATCCCGTCATCAATCAATGCACACCAGTGGAACTATCTTTAGCAAATGCAATATACAGTAATAATTATTATCACTATAATTACCTTCAAAAGCAACTTACAGAAAAAAAAAAAGAAGAATATAGGATAAAATTATCAAAGTTCATAAAATTCAGATGCTTTAACTTTTATTTGATGTCTAAACATTTTACTGAATTTTTTTTTTTTTTTTTTTTTTTTTAGATTTGTATGCACACATGCTAAAATGTTTGCATGGTGTTCGAATTTTCCATCCTGTCTTGCAGCAGCTGGCAAGTGCATGATGAAGGGACAGGCATAACTAAAAGTTTCATCCCATATTAGGATTAAACAAAATTTCCCAACAGCCCAGACACTGTGACTCAAAATTAGTTCTGGAATTCATAGTTCCTGGAGCAGGTTTGAATTTAAGACTAGACTATAGACCTTAAATGAAAATTACCTCTTTTGATAGTGCAAAAGAAACTCCATTTTACTCAACACTTTGAGCCTCATTTCTTACAGAAAGGAAAAAGTGAGAGCATACATTTACAGAAATCTGATCTGGTATTTAATATACATTATTAATGAAATAATACTAGTTTGATTTTAATTCCTTAAACTTAACTTACCAAATAAAATAAGCATCATTTTAACCCTGAAATGCTAAAGCATCTTTTCAGCACAACAGCTATTCCTTCTTTCACTTACTTAAAAACATTTGCAGATTATTATTATTACTGCATATAAGCAGAAAAAAATTTGCGTATAAAAAAGTGCACCTATTAATCAATCATTTTCTTAAAGCATTTTACTCAGTAACAATTGATTATGGCACATAAAAAATTGTTGTTAGATGAGATTTGGTGTTTTTATTTGAACACTTCCAGAAACATATGCTTCACTTTCAATGAAGTAGGCTTTGATCTTTAGAATTAGAGATGTTCCACGAAAAATCCCCCTCCTTTGTTTATGCTTAATAGTAGTAGAAGGGAGTAGATTCATTTTCTAACCCTTTGGCTAGAAATGAATTTGCTAGCTAGAGTGCATAATAATATGTAATCTTATTATTTTATATATCCCTACTGGCCATCAAATGGTAATAAAAAAAAAAAAAACTTTTCAAGAACTTCAAATCTTTTAAAATATATACGAAATACTTCAAAATATCTATTTATTCTCAGCATAAATTTTATGCTTAAAAATTAATAATTAAATTTTCAGGTAATCAGATTAGCATAAACACATTTATAAGCATATGATCTCAGTTATCAAATAACAGATGATTCTGATCCAGGATAAATGGTACTTACATAATAATACAATCACCTTTGTAGAAATCACATTTTCAGAATGTGCGAAACTCTAGCAACCATGCATAAACATTCTTCTGGGAAAACAGTCCTTCAGTTATAACAGTGCTTCTGGTACGCAATGCCACCATTTTCATAAGCATTCTTTTTTGTTGCATTCCAAATCGCAATAATTTTTTTTGGTGCTAAAATTTTTGAAAAATTCAGCAGGTGGATACACAATATTGCTAAAAATTTTCAAAAGAGAAAAACAAGGCAATGAATTTTCTGAATAGGCACTGTTGTCAAGATTTGTGCAAAGCTGAGTTTCTACTATTCTCTGATGTTTTTTAAGTGAAAATAGGTACTTTGAGAGAAGAGAAATGCATAAAAATCTCAAGTGTTTTATTTTTTTAATGTAACACGTAATCCCAATTTAATAATTCAAATTTGTATTTTGAATTCCTAGAGTATGTTTTCTTTTCACATGTTGATAACATTTACTGATTTACGATAAATCAGTTTGGGAATCTTTCTTAAAAAAAGGGTGGAGGCACGAAAATCACCCACTTAAACCCTATAAGTAACTTCTACCTCTTCATCTGCACAAAACTGTCAAATTGCACTAAAGTTGTTGTGTTAATATATAAATACTGAATAAACATACCTGTAACTTCAGTCCACAAGAAAAAGATACATTTTAGTGACATAAAAATGAAATACCTGGATAGCCATGGGGAAAAGAAGTTGTAGGTGTAATTCGCGTCATCTCAAAACTTAAAGCTGCTTCATGCAATTGCATTTGCTTCTTATATTTTCTGGGCACTTTAGGTGGACTGCTTTCTGAAATAATACACAACCAAAAGGTATACATATAATGCAGGTCAAAAGTAACTGCCACATTCAAATACAGGATGACAATTACTGAGCTATATGAAATAAAAAATCAAATTTTCCAAAACCACCGATTTCAAAAATTTTATTCAAATTGGAAAAGTAACTACAGATATTCAGATTTAGTTTACGACATGTTCGATGTGCTTGCCATTAGTGGTTATCACATGGCACAGGCGAAGAGTAAAATTCAAGTTTCAAAATACAGATGCTTTCAATGACCTCCTGAAAGACTGTTTTGAGCTCAGCGATGGTTTTGTTGCTATTTGCATACCCTGTTTTCAATATTGTGCCATAAAAATGAGGCTTGAGATCAAGAGAATATGGTGGCCAAGTGATTCCTATTCCAGCTACCTTGGGTGCCCCAAAGCCAGCATGCACACTCCAGAGTGCTTATCCAGGACTTCAAACACTCTGTCAGTCTGATGGGGTCATGCTCCGTCATGCATGAACCACATCTCTTCAAAATCTGAGTGACTTTGAATTCCACGACCTGACAATACAAACAAACAGTTGCCAGTTGGGTGTGGAGAAACTTCATCATGAAATGGAGACTTTCAGTCCCCCAAATGCGGCAATTCCTACTTATAGACATACCTACCCAAATGAAAGTGGGCTTCACCGCTAAACCAAACCATATTCACATCAAAATTTTGTTTGCCAATCATATTAACAATATTGCTGGTGAAACAAAATGCTGTTCAATGGCTGATGAATTTGAATTTTGCATGGGAAGCACAGCAGGCCTTGAACAATAATTTGTCACAGTCTCTTGGTTGATTCTAGCCTGTTGTGAAGCTCGTCTGATCGATGTCCTTGGGTTATTTTGAAACACAGTTCATGTTTTCTCAATATTTTCAGTTGTTTTCACACTTTTTTAATGACCAACACTGCCAATACTGTCAACACAAACACTACCAATTCTCTTGAACTTTTTATCACATTTTTATTATTATAACACTTGGATCAGTTGGCTTCAGCTTGTGTTTGGTTGTAAATTTCCTTCGGGCCGCAATCGGGCTGTTACTCTTTGAATAGAAGGCCTTGACAATGAATATATGCTCAGAAATGCTGTATTTTGATATTTTCAATGAAAAATGAACAAAACCAAGAATATAAGCGTGCATGCTCAAACAAATTCCCAATGTGTCCATTCAAATGCCAAGTATTAACTGAATTTCAGAATAATTTACCATAAAATAGTTAAAGGGAACAATTATTCACACGAAACTATTTTTACACTGATCTCTACGAAATTTTTCAAAGTGGAAAACAATCTCCAGCCTGGAAGGAGATTTATTGATTGATAATTTGATATAAATACCTAATTAAAATGTAAAATATGTATATAATAATATTAAACGAACATGTAATCATAATAATATCTATGTTACCAGCAAGGCACGGCAATATATGTACGGGGGTTGTAAATTAAATAGTAGCAACTTAACCTTGAAACTCGCAGAAGGGCGGGCATGCGCAAATGGGATATGGGAGAGGTGAGGTGGCGCTGTTGTTGATGTGTAAAGTGAAAAAAAAAACACTCTATCTGCTTAGAAGGGTAGTTGTTGTGTGGCGTTAAAGTGAGGAGTTTCGTTTTCATTGCTCTAAAGCATGTTTTCAAAAGGTGTTCAGCGGTTGTGGCTTAAAATCGAAATTGCCTGTGGCAAAAATGCAACAGAATGCTATCAAGGATTAGTGGAAGCCTGAGGCACAAATGCTTTACCATATAGGACAGTAGCACAATGGGTTCAAACATTTCGTTCGGGTCGGAATGAGACTGCGGATTTGCAACTCACAAGTCAGCCTCCATTCCTCAAGAGCAGATTGACATCCTGAGCGGTCTTCTTACCATAGACCGCAGATGGACCGTCCGAGAATTATCCTTAGAGGTTGGTCTGAGTCATCAAATGGTGTGGCGCATAATGAAGAAATTTCTGAACATGAGGAAAATTGCTTCCCGCTGGGTTCCACATCGACTAACCGAAGTAAAGAAATGGCACCGGTATGCACCCAATTGGAGAGATACCGCAATGAAGGAGACGCATTTCTGCATTGTTGCCATTGATGAGACATGGGCACTAGCCTGTGAGCCTGAATTAAAGCGTCAATCAAGTAAATGGCATCACCAAGGTTCGCCACATCTACAGAAATTTTGACAGGAACCCAGTTGGGTGAAGGTTATGCTGATTATGGCATACGAATGGGACGGTGTGATTCTTACACATGCTGTAACCTGAAGGACAAACTGTCAACGCGATTACTATTTCCAATTCCTACAGCACCATTTGCGTATGGCTATGTGGCGCAAACATCTACGTTTATTGCACAACAATCTCCCTATCGTATTGAATGACAATATTCTTTGCTATGTCGCAAACAATGTCACTCTCCTTTTGTAATGGTGGCAGTGGGAAATCTTGGAACACAACCCCTACTCACCCGACAAGAGTCCTTGTGACTTCGATCTGTTTCCGAAGTTGAAGGAACCCCTCTGAGGTCACCGATTTCATGACGTTTCATCTGTACTCCATGCAGTAGGGTGCTCGGTCGCTCGCATGAACAATCAACACCTTGCTACTGGTCTACAACGGCTCCCGACATTCGGCAAAAGGTTATAAGCTTTGCTGGTGATTACATAGAAGGAATGTAATGCAATTGTACTTGTAAGTTCATTAAAAATTGATTTATACCTATGTTGCCATTACTTAATTTACAGCCCTCGTATTACCAGCATTCTGTAGAATATCTAGGCATTTTACGGAATGCCAAAAATTTGTTGGCAATATATGAAATGATTAACATTTCACATATTTTCTAGTCATTCTAGAATACCAAATAATGAGGCAGTAAAGTAAGAAATATATTACTGATTTGTTTTAAGCATCTAAATTAATTAGCAAATTGGGATAAAAGCAAGGCAATTCCTCTATAAAATAATAATTGCAACCGTGTATAAGAGGCTTAATACAATATCAAACCTAATCCAATTAAACAAAGAATTCGAATTTTTAGCCTATTTTTATACACTCAAGAGCCAAAACATTATGACTACCTGTCAATAACGAGTTGGGCCATTTTTGGTGCGCAACACAGTTTCAACCCGCCTTGGCATGGATGCCACAAGTCCTTGATAGATGGCCGGAGACAGATTGTACCAGATGTTGTAGCGACGGTCACGGAAATCTGAAATATTGCGAATTGGTGGTCTTTGACCTCTGAGCTGCTGTCCCATGACATCCCAAATGTGTTCTAGCGGACTGAGATACGGTGAGTTAGGCGGCCAGGACATTAACTGGAAATCAGCATCATGTTCCTGGAACCACTCCAACACAATTGTAGCCTTTTGACACGAGGCGTTGTCCTGTTGGAACATTCCATTTCCAGCTGGAAAAACAGAGGCCATGTAAGGGGGCAACTGGTTCGCAATGATGTTCAGATACCCTGTAGCATTCATGGTCTGCTCAACCCCAAACACGGGTCCCAGAGACGCCCAAGAGAACGCCCCCCCCCAAAGCATAATACCACTACCACTGGCCTGTGTATGACCTACTGTGCATTGAGGGAGCAACTGTTCGCCTGGAAGACGGCGTTACCTGACACGGCCATCGGCATGATGAATGACAAACCATGATTCATCTGACCAGGCAACTCTCTCCCACTGATCCATGGACCAATTGCGATGTTCCTGGGCCCAGCGCAGGCGCAGTTGGCGATGACGCTTGGTCAGCAAAGGCCCACGAGTGGGATGTTTGCTGCGTAGCCCCATATCCAACAGTGTGCTCCGATACTTTTCTACTTGGCCCTGCATTGTATTCAGCTGTCAGCTGAGCCACTGTCTGGCTCCGGTTTTGTTTCACCATGCGAGACAGTCTCCGGCGACCTTTTTCTTTGATAGCATGTGGACGTACAACACCATGTCGTCTACTACTGGTTTCACCGTCATTCATCTACTTTTCATACGTACTAACAACTGTAGATCACGAACAACCCATGAGTCGTGCAGTTTCGGAAATACTTGTTCTGAGCATTCGAGCCATTACAATCTGCCCTCTATCAAAGTCACTTAGATCCGCAGCCTTTCCCATCACACACAGAAGTAAGTGAAAGAATAATTCTTCAGACTCTCCAGCAGCAGTTACAAACCACTTCCACATGATCATGTGCCTTTCACGTCATCCAGGTGCGTTCATCGCAAAATGTAGGGCTGGTCACAATGTTTTGGCTGTTGAGTGTATTTCTTTTTATACTGATTTGTCTTATATATAAGAATACATTTTACATGTATGAAATGAAGTACATCAACAATTCATTTTTGAGATACATTCCCAAATGGTTAGGATAGTTTCTACCGACTTGGAACTTCTAAAGAAATTTTAAAACGTTTATGCCAGATCACCCACTTTATGCTCTAAAAACTTGCTTAAAATTGAAGATATTCCTGACTTTGAAATTCATCTGCAGTCATTTGTAATTGTTCAGTTCAACAGAGATGGCCAAGGATTTGTCAAATGCAAGTGTAAAACAAAGTGCCAAAATATGAAATATCTTTGTGTGAAAAAAGCAGTGAAGTGTAATTCAAAATGTCATTCAAGCCATGTTGCAATAAGTAGGTTAAATTTAATTTCTTATTTTTTACTTGAAAATTTTGTTTTCTTTAATAACAAAGACATACATTTTTTGCCCAGCTTTAAGTATTATTTTGAATACTTATTTATTTGAAGCTTTTATGACACTCTATCATCATTTTTTCAAAATAACATTTGCAGTTTTAAGGAATGCAAGTCTATTCAATAACAGGCTTATCATGAATAATAATTTGCCTAATTAGCATTTGTCATTCTACAAAATGCCCAGGGAAAGTAATAATAATTCTCATATTCCACACCTTGCCTAAAACAATGACAGGCATTCTACAGAATGCAAGTGTTTCATACATTGCTGGTAAT